AAATGACTCATTTTATGCAATGGAAATAACTTTCCTATAGGGAAATGGAAATAACTTTCCTATAGGCTGTTTGGGAGGACGCAATAAACATTCCTTCAGCTATCCAGATGTGAAAGTATCAGGGAACTTCACTCGTTTCTTCACAAAGCCAGATCCACGGACCTTTTATGCAGAACTCGGTGTTAGCAGGGAAGATAGCTTTTCCTTAAAAAAGCCAACCAATTTAATCACTGCATTCCTAAGCAGCCACGACTTTTCAGCAGCAGCACTAACAAGCTCGACAACACGTATCTGGATCCTCTGGACGTCTGCCTGTGACTCATCTTTCTTTTCTGGGGCATTTGAGTGCCCTAGAGAAATGCACCATGAAGAAAGAACTGGAGATGGAGGCTCAGATCTCAGGTGACATGCTTCCCCACCACAGGGAAGGCTCAGTGCATATCAAAAGAACGTCACTTCCACCTGCCCGACGGAGGAAGATTTATGCTCTTATCAAATTATGAATGAGAGAAATTCTAGTGTCACGGTATTCGTGCTACTAAACACACTCCTAAAGCCAGCCCAGATTTTGCCTTTGATTTATCAGAGGCAGGTGCTTGATTAATTGCCATGGGTCCACTCCTCTGTTTGATGTTAAGAGTGAGCTTTAAACGATTGCTCGGTCTGATCCATTTAGGGATGGCCAGCGCACCTCCGGATAAAGCCGCACTGCAACACACTCCAGGTCTGCTGGAACCTACCCTACATGGGAACGAACTCCGCGGGGTGCGCTACAGACACATAAATAGGCGGGTTTTGGAAAGCAGAGCATCAGGATGAGGACATAAAACGAAGGGAAAAAACCTGAACACAAGGCAAAACAAAAGGAAGTTCTCTGACGGTGCTCTCAACTACCATATTAGCTCAGACAAGAGTTTACACTCACATTGTTTACTAACAGGTGGCATTTGTTAGAAAATTACAATGCAACAGTGGGCAGAAAACAGGAAAGCACTCCTTCCTCTTTGGAAAAGGGTTTTTCTACCTTCTTTTGGTTGTTGTTTATGTTGTTGTAACTAATCTATACATTTATTTTTATAAAGTAAGCCCAGTTAGTGAAAATTATTTTATGCTTCCTTGCTACTATACGGACAAAATGAAATCCAAGTTCTGGCATGATGTGACATGTAAACCATTTGTGCTGAAGTGACTGCCAGAAACGGATGGAAAGTTTTTAACCTGAAGAAACACTCAAATAAAATGCTAGCATAATCTAAATTTATTCACTGACAGTAATTGCAGGAGTTTTTGTGTCTTCTCTTTTTAATCATCGATTTAGCTGAGTCTGGTATTCAACAACTTAGAGCACCAGCGGAGAAAGTGATCTCTTTTCCTTTCTGATGTTCAGCAAACCTGAACATGTGTTGTTGCTTTTTTTAAAGGAAGACATGAAACAATTTTGTTTGCATTTCATGGGAAATAAAGCTAATCGGTAGCGCTGCCATCTAACGTAAAGCACGTATGTTTTTAAAGAAAGTGTGAAGAGTGTGTTACAAACACTAAACATTTTGCCAGTCTCACTCAGATCCTGACGCAGGTCAGAATTGAAAAGCTGGACAGCCTCAGCTCCACTAGACACCGTGATCACAACCGCGGGCGCTTATCGCACAGCGTTCTCGTGTGCCATGATTCAGTACCATTTCCTTTCTCTAAGGCAGTTAGAAGTCAACAAAAATAGATAAATGGCTAATTTCTTCGTCATAATATAACCTCAGATCTTAAAGCCAGCCACTTGCTCTTTCCTCAGAGAAAGCTTTTGCCACCAAGCTCTAAAATTACGTCATCACATCAATCCACCTCCTCTGCCCTACGGAGCTTCTCTATTACCAGCAAGCCCATTCAAAATGCCCCCAAGGGCCAAGGCCAACACTTGAAAAAGAGCGTAACTTTGTCTGAAACCAGAGTGTGCCCTATTACCACCATCCGAGACATCCCCGCCCGACCTCATTCTTTCTGGTGCTATTATTTCAAACCTGTATCAGTTCTCAGTCCGACTACAGCCGGGAGCGGTGATCTCCACCCTGCCCCCGCAAGCCCCTGTAACATTAGTTTCAATCTTTTATTCATTCACAGGCAGAAATATCAAGAGGTTTCCTTAAATGACAGCAGTATGCCTGGACGGCTGATCTGCCAGAAGGGCTCTGTGGAAATAACTGGCTAGCAGGGACTGCTTTGAAGTTGCTCTTTGCAGCTCCCGGAGTACTTGGGTTGGATCAGTTTTTACTGGATTACTTTCACGACAGGCTCTTTTTTGTCCCATCTGAAGAGTTTCTTTGTGAGCAATGAATGAGGATGCATCTTGGGAATGATCTGATACTTCAAAAGATGATTCTCGTAGTTTATCTTGTTGCAGTAAGCTTCTCTTCTGAAGGAAATGCTGCTGAGCCCTCGTGTCGATCTCAACGATAGCGTATGCAATGCGCCTTTTATCACCGGGCTGTCTGCGCTATCACTTTTCAATACGACTCCAAAACAAATCCTTGCAAGCTAGGGCATTTATTAATTAATAAACATGTGGATATATGTTGCCTTTTATAATGCAACTTTTTTTTTTTTTCTGCAAACACTTCACAACAGAGCCTGTCCTGCCAAAGTCAGTGAAAGTTTACTCACTGCCTGGTGAAGAACTGCAACTTAGACTGTTTTGGGAACAGTAAAGTCAAGTACACTTTTATGTTTGAAAAATAAGAAAAAGTTAATAATGAAGTTGCTTTTTTCTCTAAGCTTTTTTTTTCCTGCACAGAGTTTTAATGGAAGGAAAAAAAAAGAATTTGCGCAACAAAACAACTAGCCAAAGGTAAAAGCTACATTCAGAAAAGGAAACCCAATGGCCTGTTTCAGCTAACACACATTAAGTAGAAGTTTCTAACCAGTACACAGTCTGTAGGAGCAATGGAGAGTGACATTTAAGACCATACCACATTTTCACATTGTAAGCAACAGCCGCTATGGCTTTCTACATACACAGACAAAAGTTGATTTTGAAGGTGTTAAACACCAAGTGTTTTACAATCAACAAATTTCTAATTTAAAAAAGCCATAGTCATAGTTTGGGTTTTTTAATGCGAAAATAACGATACAGTAAGTGTGAAAGCTATTACTCACGCCTATGTCCATATAGTTTATGTGTCACTAGTCACTGAATAATTCAATTATTTTAGCATTGCTGCAATGACAATTGAACGGTTGTGTCACCACAGCGCAGACTTGCATGTTGATCATCCCTTAGTCTGAACAACTGCTCACAGAGCACAGGGAGTACCACCTAATGGGTTTTGAAATACCGTTTCTAGCTTGCAAGGATTTGATACTCAAGCACGCCTACAACCTCTGCACAGCAATTCCGGCAGTGTTCTCTTACAAGCAGGTCTTGGTATGTTTTTACTTCAGTAGATGCACTCTGTTTCTGGGTCTTTCAGCCTTCCTTCCTATGCAGGCTACATGACTATGTGCAAACTCCTGCTCAGTTCTGTAGGTATTTTTTCCTCATTTTATGTAGAACTTTTAAAAACCACCCTGCTGGAAACCTTACAACACAATTTTAGCTTAAAGAATTTTATGGCTCAACAGAAATACTCTTTGAGACAGTTACTGACTGATAACTGGGAAAAGAAAAAATACAGCAATTTAGGAACAACCTTTCTCTCCTTTTCTTCAAAGCTCTATTTTAACTTACAGCATGATCTGTCCCCACTAACCTCAGCAGAGACGTTCTTTCAACTTTGGATTAGGCTACATCCTGCAGTCAATGAAAAAAAAAACCAACCAAACCAGCACCAAAACACAAGTTTACATATGCTTTATGCGGCGAGGATACTTTTCTATGTTTAGCAAGATGCTGATACCATTTTCTATTGCTTCCTGCCTTCATTCACACCGAAGCCAGAACCCAGGCTGTCGTAGTTACATCACACCACGATGGGAAGACTCTTAACAGTAACTGATCATGCCAGTGCATTCCTTTTTACTGCTGATTTCTACAACATGATGTAAAGCGCAAAGGGGACTCCTTTCAGATTCTGTTCTGTCTTTAGCCTAAGTGATACTGCTGTGGCAGTTGTGCTACTCGGAGCAGAAAAGGAAAGCAAAAAACTTAAGGAGCAGGCAACCAAACCAAACGACACCCAACACGCGGGCAGCACCGTTACTCCGCAGCACGCTTCAGAGCTGCTGTGCCAAGCTCCCAGCAGCCGATGCTGGGGGCAGGGTCAGCGAGCATGGAAGCGGGGTCAAAAAGCAAGGAGCTGGCAGGGCTCCTCTGCCAGCATTAATGCAGGAGAGGGCCAGACCTTCTGGGAGCGAGCTCATGCCTGAGTCCAGGACAACCAGGAGAGCTGCGGGGAGAGGGGCAGCAGTGGCAGGGGGCCTAGAGATCCTGGAGGCGCTCTTTAACAGCTGGCTTGGGAAACAGCTGTGGTTTTGGCTGCCAGGGCCACTTGAGCCGCCTCCAGCACAGCCCTGTTGGGGCTGTCATATATGGGAGCGAGCAATGAGCCTGTCTTCACAGAGATGGAAAATCAGAGGCATGACAGTGTGGTATTTTCATAAGCATCTGTGTATTTTTTCAGGCAAAGTACCTGGGAATCTGCAAGGGCTTTATCTGAAAAGGTGCTCCAGAAACTTTCCCTCTACCTACCTGGCTTAAGGCGCAAAGTCAGTCAGCGTTTAACAGAAGCTAGACTGACGGAGTTTCAGAAAGCTAGCACATACCTATCCTTCAGTGATCAGTCATGATTTAATTCAGAGCCAGTAATCGGTGATTGATCACTTGTACAAAGTAGCCACAACAAATTCAACCCTGGCTGGAAAGCAATTGGTTTCAGAGATGGAAGTAACTTCATCTGCAAAAATGGTTTTAGAAGCAGCATTACAACACAGGACGAAAAGCCAGGAACAGAGAAATTGAAGCACACTGCTGCATTAAAGTAAAATAAAAGTGATATTGATATCCAGAAACTTACCACTGAGGTAAGAGCCATCTGAAAACTGTAGATTCGTGCAAGGCCAAAGTCAGCTAACTTTATCTGCCCGTTGCTGGTTACAAGAATATTTTGGGGTTTCAGGTCCCGATGCACCACGCGATGTGAATGCAGAAAATCCAGTCCCCGAAACAGCTGAAGCATCATATCCTAAATGTAAAGAAGAAATCAGTATGCAATTATCAAGACAAGGTGGCAAACGAGTAAACTCCCTGTCATAATCTGGAAAATGAATTTAATAAATACCCACTTAAATATGTGTGCAGGAGATAAAAACAACCATTAATATAAAATGGACAGGGCGCAGCTAGAATCAGCTGACTTGAACAGGTGTCCTTATCAAGTTCATGTCTTGTTTCTAGTTGAATTATCCGAGGTTGACTGATAGAAGTACAAAGACCGGTTAACATACTTAGAAGAAATAGCCAAAGCATGTGTGGAAATCCCAGGACAGCTTCAAAAGAATGCTGTCCAAGTAAGAAAAGCACATGGCAGCTTTCTGCTCTTAACTTTAAACCATACACCACTTTGCATCTCACAAGTTTATGCTTTGTCCTGCGCCACTGAATCTATTATTCACTGCAACTTGCACAAGGATCTGTTTCAATCAGAAAACTGTTTAAATGACAAAATAACCAGGGATTAATGTGGTAGAGGGAAAAAGTTTACCTGGCAAAACGTTTTGCATACAATTTACTGAATACAGCAGAAACTACCTTTAGATCAAAGTTTAGCACCAAATCAGTGTAACAATAATAAGTAACAGTTCTCATTTTGCTTTCTGTTTTGTTATAGTGATGCAATCTCGTATGACATTTCCACAGCTGAAGAAACTACTTCATTTGTTTTCACATTAATCTTAGTAATGTGAAAGGAATGAACCAAGAAACTCAAAACGAAATACTAGAAATCCCCTGAATTCCAAAATAGAAGAATACTGTCAACTTGCAGATTATATGTGCAAAACAGGCAGTTACAAGAAGGTGCCACATTAAGCAAGAATCAAAAGGGATAAAAAAAATAAACGTATTTTCTATATGCACTTGAGATCACGAAACTCCAGCTCAGTGTTTGCTGGTGACATCTGCCCTTTCCATAAGCCACACAGCAGGGTGCCTGCCAATCTTGTTCTTAGCAACCGAAGTGACCTTGGAGAGATGCACGGCATGAAAAATCAGAAAAGGGAAGAAGGATAAACTGGAGTTGGTTGCTTTTGTTCTCCTCTATGGACTTGGGCATATTTCAAATAAATATTCAAGGCACATTCTTAAAAGGAATGATATCTGCAAATGGGTTTAAAAATAGATGAAAACATTCAACTTGATAATATTGCTTTAGCTGGATCATTTTAAAGATACATTTCATCAACATTGCTATAAAATTTAATACAAAACAATTATTTCATGTCATCTTCCCCGATCACCTCTAGAGAAAGTATTATAAAATGTATCGATATTAAGGCTGGAAGCTCTAACTTGACCTCTGATAAAACATAGCCTCTTCTACACATAGTTTATAACTCTCTCTGTCTAACAGCAGTAACAGTGGGCTGCTCACAAAGTAATCAGTTTTTATTTGAAGACCCTGATGATGGAGATATTACCATGGAACCATGGATGTTGTGGCAGCATTTAACTAGTATCACCTCTGAAGGATGGGGTAAACTGAGAAGCCCATTCCCTGTTAACTGATGCCTTTTATTCCCTTCGCTTCCCCAGGAAAAACCGAGGTCCAACAATTTTGATAACTAGTACAATAGGGTTTGCATGTTCAAAACAAATATGCAAAGCCTATTGAATCCTCTTGGATTTATATACTTTCCTTTGCAGCTCAGAAATATGTGGAAGAGCTAGTACTACAGCTCTGCAGATTTCAGTCATCGGTAGAATTCAAACAGTGTCATATCTGCTCACTCCGTGCTGTTAGAACTTAAATCCCAACAGTCTTTAGATCAGGCTTGCAGATGTGCAGAACACACCACGGACATTTATTCACATGGGTAACTCAAGTACATACTCAAGGGTTTCACTGACTTGGGGCCTCATTTTTTTTTGTTCCAGGTAGACACACAATCAGATACAATAAGAAAATAATTCAAAGAGCTTAAGGATTAGTCAGTGGACCCTGGCAAGTCCCTTTTTTGGTGACATTTCTGCATCCTACTCATTTGTCAAGTATGTAAACTCATTCCTGCAGTTACCAAACATACCAAGAATATTTTTTTTCTATGGCTGATGCTAGTTTTGTTTCAACTTTCTTCCTCAAGCTCAGCAAATACAATTCTGCTCTGCTAGTTGCAAGTTGCAAGCAATATCTTCAGTTTCTAAATTCAGAGTCTTCTTCCAGGCGCATGTAAAAAAGGAAAATACTTGAAAATGGGCATTGGTATATCTTTCCATATATCTTTCATAGACCCAAAAGATGAATATCTTTTACTGAAGTTCTCTTCACACACAGAAAAGATGTGCTGCAGAAAAGTGCAGTGATTTAAAAGCTCTTTACCACCACAGTAAAGATGTAGATGCTGGATTTTGTCTTTTTAAAGGGGGACACAGTGCAATGCAACCTGAAGGCAAACACCAAGGAAAAAACATCTTCAGCAAAAACACGCACCCAGAAGTAACATACACATATGAATGGCTCCTCATTATGTGAAGCTTGCATGTTTCTTCTGTTGACTAGTATGTGAAGGAAGAGAAACCTTTAAATAGATTTCCCTTGGCCCTGCTGATAGAAGTTCCTAACATGAAAGAAAGTAAGTTTGTGGAAGCCCATGAATATTTTCAGTCACATCACCAAATAAAAGCAACATGGCACAGATCTTTGTCAACTAAAAGAGATCCTAAGTTTGCACTAACCCACAGGGTTTTTTGGTTTGGTTTGGTTTTTTTCACCTGCGTATTTTTCCTCTTCCTTCTATGCTAACATTTGGTAAAACACAACAATCCTTGGACATCTCCTAATACTTCTCCTGCTCCTCTGTGGTATATCTCACACATCGGCACAGCAACCTGCGTGCTTCACCCAGAGCTTCCATCTACTTGTAACTCATTTTTCTCTCTTTGCTGAGCAGAATGGAACGTCCCCGCTTTGGGCGGCAGGTGTTGCGATACTTGTCCTGAACATTTCCTGCAGGAGTGTTTGCGTAAGAGACAACCACAAGCATAAACAAAGGGAACAGTTTTAGACAGCGATGTGAAACGAATCAGTCACGTCAGTCTGACAGAAAGGCTCGCTGCCTCTCCCTGAGCAGCAGGACCGGAGCAGGATGAGGCTTCCTTCCTATCAACCCCAACCACTAAACTGCTTTACTTTTAAAGGGTGTCTTTTAAACATGGTGGAATGAACGTTTAAAGAGTTTTCACATTCTCTGGGGCCTATTTTTGAAGCAGAATAATTACTGCACTTCTATGGTTATACTTTGTAACAAACAGTCAACATTAATTAATGCCAAAAAAACAATGGCATTCCTGAGGAATTACACAGTACAGATACATGAATAGCAAAAGACATGATTAATGTTGTTACACTGAATCCCAAAGGCATTAGTAATAATGTAGCGACTCCCTGTTAAATGCAGTGATTTTCTTAAAATCTTGCCCTGGCAATGGGCTGGAAACAGATCACACCAGCCTACCCAGAATATCAAAACTGCCACGGTGGCAGCAGGGAAACAGTTTGCCACAACCTGGGGAGCTGCAGGATGCTCTTCTCCACGCAGCCAGCTGGGTGCAGCGGCTGGGACGCAGGAAGAGGCAGACAGGACCCTGCCCTTGTGCCATTCTCCTCCTTAGAATCACAAAATCATAGAATCATAG